GTGGGCCCTGTCCCCACCCCCTGATCATTTTAGTTCCCCTCCCCTCCCCCAGCCTCTCTCTTCCCCTCTCCCACCTCCTTTTCCCCGTCTCCCACAGTTTTACTTGTTGAATTTCACTGGATTTTGTGAAAAGTAGGTCAAGTTATAAACTTGGCAAGCAGTTACTAAGTCAAGTAATGAGCTTAATCTGCAGCAAGGAAGATTTAGATTAGATATTAGAAAAACTTCTCGTTATAAGGGTAGACAAACTCTAAATAGGCTTTCAGTGGAGGTTGTGAAATCCCAGTCTTTGAAGGTTTTCAAGAACATTTTGGACAAGCACTTTTCAATGATGTTTCAGTTTACTTAATCCTATCTTAGAGCTGAGGTTTGGGTTATAACTTTTCAAGATCTCCTTCAGCACTACACTTCTATGATTCTGTGACTTAAAGGCTCATCTTCATTTTGTAGAAATATTTGGTTTTAATTAATTCTGCATGGTGGGGGAGTAGAAAAGTCCTAAGAAACTGTGAAAAGTCTCATTATTGAACATTTAGTATTTGGAATAGAGTCAAGTAAATTTTGGCACAGGAACCTCTTCACTTTGGCACACACATTGACTGTTAGGAGATGTAGTATCTTAGGGTATGTCTACACCACAGCGCTAATTCGAACTAACTTAGTTCGAATTAGTTAATTCGAACTAAGCTAATTCGAACTAAGTTAGTTCGAATTAGCGCTGTGGTGTAGACATACCCTAAGATACTACATCTCCTAACAGTCAATGTGTGTGCCAAAGTGAAGAGGTTCCTGTGCCAAAATTTACTTGACTCTATTCCAAATACTAAATGTTCAATAATGAGACTTTTCACAGTTTCTTAGGACTTTTCTACTCCCCCACCATGCAGAATTAATTAAAACCAAATATTTCTACAAAATGAAGATGAGCCTTTAAGTCACAGAATCATAGAAGTGTAGTGCTGAAGGAGATCTTGAAAAGTTATAACCCAAACCTCAGCTCTAAGATAGGATTAAGTAAACTGAAACATCATTGAAAAGTGCTTGTCCAAAATGTTCTTGAAAACCTTCAAAGACTGGGATTTCACAACCTCCACTGAAAGCCTATTTAGAGTTTGTCTACCCTTATAACGAGAAGTTTTTCTAATATCTAATCTAAATCTTCCTTGCTGCAGATTAAGCTCATTACTTGACTTAGTAACTGCTTGCCAAGTTTATAACTTGACCTACTTTTCACAAAATCCAGTGAAATTCAACAAGTAAAATAAGCAAGGTGACAAGAAATGTGATCAATCCGCTCCATGCAGTCTCCATGGCAAGAAAAATTACATCCACCAGGAATCACTGCAAATTCTTCTCTATCCCACTGTTAAATTCATGCATCTGACGAAGCGGGTCTTTGCCACGAAAGCTTAGTCTTTATCTAAGTCTTTATAGATCATCACTTCAGTTAGTCTATAAGGTGCCACAGGACTCCTCGCCGCTTTTGTTAAATTCTTGACTCTTAAGGTCCTCTAACCACAGCAATCCTGTAACCTAGCAGGACTTAACAGGACTCTTGAATACACCAACCATTTTCATATAAGGAAAGTGTAGAATAATTATTTCAGGATATTATGAATAACTGATAACATGTTGTAAGCTAATTGTTTTCTGTAGGCTATTATTTACCTTTTCTATGCATCTTCGCAAACTATGGATATTCCGAACCCACCATCCTACACCCATAGCTCTGAGTTCTGACCAGGTCGGATCCCCCTTCTGCACAGCAGGGAGCATGCTCAGTAGCTCCTCTTCTGCTACTGAATGAAATGCCCAGGCAAAGTGACGAGTAGACAAACCTATACAATAATCCACAAAGGAAAAAAGTGCTTGTTTAGTGACAATAAAACCAGATAATCAACTACAAGTTCAGAAGATTTTGTCTTTAATTTATTAACTGTGAAAGTACAAGGGCAGAAACTTGGTAGGCATTACAACAATTGCAGGCCTTGCAAATGAACTACTTGTTTATTATTCAATTATAAATTGGCCATATCTAGTTGACAGACAATAGAGGAGGTCATGACCGAATTAAACAACTGCAGAGAAATACAATACCCTTAAAGATAGTTATGGCACTGCCACTGGCTCTGTGAAAGTAACCAAAAACTTCAAAAAGTTGAGCTTAGTTTTGATTAAATATTCAGTTCCAAGAAAAACTAATACTGGTAAGTCCAGTGAAAAACATCTTTTTTTGGTGTTTTTCCTTCTTGCAGTACTGCTTCTCATCTTACTGGAAGTGTGGAAACCATCTAACTTGATTATGGGTAAAATTTTCCAGAATAAGGATGCTAAAATGCAATTATCTGGGTAGTCGAAATTATATCGACTATGCGATTAGTCGATAAGCGCTGCTGTGCAGAGCTGCAGCGGAAGTTGCTCCAAGAGCCGGCTCCAAAGCCACTGCAAGGCTGCATTTTAAATGTAGTAAGAGCCGCAGGGGCGCAGCAATCAGCATGAGCTGGGACTGCACAGTCCAGCAGCCCCTGTTCACGGTACAGTCCTGTCTGCCACGAACAGGGGATGGTACTGAAGCAGCCTCTGTTCGCAGTGGCCAGGGCTGGCTGTGGGCCAGGGCTGCTCAGGCAGCAGCCCGTCTGTTTCGAACTGGGGATGGTGCTGGAGCAGCCTCTGTTCATGGTGGCCACCAAGGCGCTGAGACCCCTGCAGACAGGCAGCTGCTTCCCAGCAGTGTCCCCTATCCCCTCTGCTGCCTCTGACTGAGGCAGCAGGGTGGAGGGGCAGGAGGCATCCCAGAGACTGTGCTTGGGGGGAAGTGGCTCCTGTCTACCTCCCCCGCCCCCCGATGCCTCTCACTTGAGTCCATGCTCATGTCCTGTCCCCCCTGCCTGCTTGTTGCCTCTGGCTTGAGTCCCTGCTCACCCTGTGCTCCCTGCAGCTCTTCTGCTTTTGAAATGTACAAGAACTCCGGGGGGGCTGAAGCAGTCCCCTCTTATGCTGTTTTCCCGCTGTGCCTCTGCTTCCCCTGACCCGGCTTAAAGGGGATAGTTCTGGGGGGGAACTGGCTTAAAGCAAGTTCCCCCCAGCACCACCTCCTGCTCCTCTCCCCTCCCTTGCTGCCTCAATAAGCATGTGTTTATTGGACAGTCAACTAGTCACCAACATCCCTATTCCAGAACCACCAAAAGTAACTTCAAGAGCCTAAATTACATTTTCAATTGTGGCTCAGGCACTTCAGCTCATAAATCACTGCAATGTTTTCTGAAAATTATTATCCTATGTTGTGAGTCTCATGATAAAATAAAATAGGCATTAAAATGAGCTGATCTCTGTGAGAGCGACTGTGGCACACTGTCCGGTCATGCCCACAGCTTTTGAATAGTCCCGCCAGCTGGAGTTTTCTATAAAAGAATTTCCTTCCACTCACTTCACCATGCAACAGCAAGGTGAGTGGGAGCTGGGCAGGGCTGGAGCTGGAGCCCAGGCCTCAGTGCACAGACTCACCATGGCTCTGGTTTTAGCTCTGGCAGATGCTACACAGCCCAGCTGGCGGGGCCATGTGGAGAGTTGCTGGGGGTAGCAGGGGAGGACGATGCTGAGGCTACAGCCATGAGCGGCTAGGGCCTGTTCTGGCAGCTGGGGGCGAAGTCTGCACTGTAGCTGCGTGGTGGATGTCTGAGGCATGCTTTCGCAGGAGGATTGGAGTCTGCCATGGCCGTGTGGTGGACAGGTGGGACCTGCTGAGGAGAGGGAAGGGCAGCTGGGGCCTACTGCGTGACTGGAAGGCTGGGAGCTTTTGCAGCTATGTGGCGCAAGTTTGCAAACGGGTTTGCTGGCTCTTGGAATAAAACAAGTTGGGAACCACTGCTCTATGATGTTTAAATGTCTCACAAAACTTCTCATTGACAAAGCTCTTTCCAGTATTTTATAGTAAAAAAATTCATAAAAGAAAATCTTCACCCCCAAAGACTGATCAAGAAGCATTCACATAAGAAGTTAACAAACACCTATGCTATGCTTCATCATGAGCATGCCCAGGGCTTGTAAGGACAATGAGCAACTAGGACTTACAGCAACTCTCTCATACTACATTTCTGTATGTATTTCAAGACTGCATGAGCATCTAATAAAGCAAACATTGAAGTGTTAAAACATGTGAATACTGTCAAAAAATCCCACTCTGTAAAGTTACCTTGGTGAAGCAGCTGGGCTCGATGGACAGGAGGAAGTGAGGTTGTCAGAAATGTGTGCAGCTGAACAGCCAAAAGGAATTTTAAGCCACATTCATCAAGTGTTTCTCCACCTATAAATAAAAATTGAGTAATTTTCACTGAAAGAAATTGCATATGAAAGAAACTTAAAAAAAAATGCCAACGCAACAAATAGCTTTCTCTTTATTAGACTATTATGACAGTTTAACAAGAGCTCATGAATTCAGTGATTTCTTCAACTCCCCAAATAAGATACCAGTGACAGAGCAACAGGCAATCTCAGCGTGGTAAAAAAGGATGCACGAGCAAGTTATGATTTATAGAGTAACCTGGAACTAAGATAAATTATACTTTTCCTATTCTTTCAATTAGTAACTAAAAACAATATGCTGCTTATTGTATTGAAGAATTATACAATATTATGTTGGATAGAGAGAAAAATCTTGGTTGCTGAAGGAAAATGCGTATGTATGATGGTCTGACAGGGTACACATACATCACACAGGACCCGACGGGCTTAATGCACTGTGGGTGGAGGAAGTCCTGCCCCCACTGACACACTGGGCACACTTCAAGTGCTGGGCTAGTATAAAAAGGGAGCAACTCAGCTCAGGCCAGACTGGATGCTGCAGAGGAAGGACCTGCTGTAGGAGTTCCAGCAGTGTACTAGTGAGAGACCCCAACAGAAGGAGCTGAAGCCCCAAGAAACTGGATTGAACCTCTGAAGCTGACAGCCTTGGGGAGTGACTTGTGCTGTGGAACCAGAGGGCCCTGAAACCTCATGCATCACCCCACTGCCAGAGATGGTGGGAAGTGGCCCAGGCAGCAATATCTCCCATGCGAGAGCTCGGTGTGTTTTGGTGATATTCCCTGCTTAGCCAGTGTCCACCCAGGGCACTGGGTCAGGACACAGTGCAGTCAGGTGGGCCCAAGCTCCTTACCGGGGCTGCCTCTCTGCCCTGTCCATCTAGCAACATTATTTTTTATATTTAAACAATAACCAATACACAAATAACCTCTTGGGAGCCTAACAGTTAGATTGTAAATCCAGTTCTCTGCCCACAAATAAAACTCCTTCCCATCGCATCTTCATGCATCCCACAAAAACACCCATACAAATGAGTTAATTCAGACAGTCATTATAGTCAAAGCTCCAAAATAACTTTAGTGCCCCAGGAACATACCCTCAAGCCTTCCCACAAAGCCTGTCCCTTCCCTCCAGCCCCCATCCCAGCTTGCCTAGAACATCATGTTTGGTCTATTTCTGACTAAGAGCCAAGCAAATTCCAGAGTCTCAGGCCCCTGACAGTGAACACACATGGTTCACTATTGTATCAATGAACAATAACAATGAAAATATTTCCAGATTTCTGTAACAGAAGTGTTATGAATAAGTTTGCAGTTAAAATAAAGGAAATTTTACCTAAACAGCAAATGGAAAAATCTTGTTAGATAGTAAAACATACCAATACAAAACAATTTTTAATACACTTATCTGGACAGACATTTGCAAGACAATAAAAATCCTTATAAAAATGCTGGAGTATTGCCTATCACTTAAAATATTAAGCTTACCCTGGTTTCTGTCTCTGCTTTCTCCAATATCAGTACTGGTGGTAGCAATTGTATCTGCCAATGCCATCAGTGACATTTGCTCCATCCTGGTGAGACCTGGTAAGCTAGAATGCAGCAAGTGACGAGAAAGAACTTGAGCATGCTCTGGTCCAAAGTAAGTTGGGCTGTACTGAGAAAGGTCAATAACCTTCGGCTTTGTATTATCTTCTTCTGCTTCAAACACAGTAAGATCATCCGTACTCAGGCTGGAGTTTTGAAAAAGATTTTCATAATTTTCATCTGAGATGCCATTTTGTTTATTTAAATTATTTTGATTATTGGGTTTCTCTGAATAAACATGTGAGCAGTCATCATCTGCAGCAAGTAATGCATACAAAGGAAGTGGTGGAACAGAGTCTATTTCTGTATAGTCTGTATTCTCAGTTTTGTTGAAAGTCCTGGGATCTCTTGCAGTGCTTCCACTAGCACTAATTGTGAGAGATCTAAGTCGCCGATCAGGATTAGGTTCAGATTCATTTACAGCAACAACTTCCCCAGCGATACATTTAACCAAATGAGACAGGATGGCTTTTGCTCTATGTACTTTACCAAGGTCCATAAGCTCTAGAAGCTGGAAAGGATGGTACTGAGGTAAAGTTGGACATAATGCATGAGCTGCTTCAAAAAGACCAGAATCTTCCATTTCTACAGAGAGATCAAATGCAGTTCTCTTTCCACTAAGTTTCTGTGCAAGACTAGTCATGGATCTGGTTAAACTTCGCTTTGGTGGATGCAGGCCAGAACCAGTTGACTGGCTTTGTTTCATCAAACTGGTGATAGATGGTGTGCTTCCACTGTAAGAATCAGTCGTAACTAGCTCTTGTTTAGAAGGGGGCTGCCACTGAGAATAAACATGCATTTCACAATCCATCCCAACTACAAGGATGCCATCACGTACCCAGGATAAAGAAACTGGCAGAGGTGGTGATCCTTCTACTGAAGAAACCAAGTCCACACACCGTAGCAGTACAAACTTACAAAGGGATGTAACTTTTGCATTTTCCCACCATGGCAAAGGAGAGATCTCCTTATTAGTTTGGTCATGCATGTTCCCAGCCAACTGTCCAAACATATAAAGCTTTGATCCAATTCCTACTGTTAGGATATGTGATCCATCTTCCCTAGACATCCAATCTAAGTGAACCAAGTGCTTTATGCTGGGCAAAGTACCCTCACTATTAGACATTTCTTGTTTATTGTATGCCATTAAATTACTGTCAATACTAATGGCAGAGTCCAACATTGTGCTTATTTCATCTAAATGAAGAGTCTGTTCCAGAATCCAACACGATCCTCCTGTAGATTCACATTCAAAAATACCAACATGCATCATGAAATCTTGAGAACAGCGACTATTTTTAGATGTTGTTTGCTTGTATGCTACAGCCAATCTATTTGTATGTGCACAACTAACTTCAATTGGCCTGCCTGGAACACTCACAGCACTACTACTAAGAAGTCGATCCTCAACAAGTAATGGCCATTCTTCCCATATATATGTAACATTACTATTTACAGTATATTCTGGTGTAGAAGCAGCCACTGATTCAGGAGTCACTTTGCAACGCCAGAACCTTACTTTTCCATCTGAGCAAGAAGTTGCCAGTAGATAAGGGGCCTGACAAACTGGATACATCGAAGAGGAACTCAAGTGCCCTAAAATTGAAATAGAAGAAAAACAAACAGATTTTCACACCAGAGTCAAATAATAAATAATCATACATACAAAAAATTTTAATAGAAGTGTGAAATTAAATCCACATTTTCTGAATACCAATACAATTTGGCTTTGGTTCACCTTATAAAGTATCTAGTACCTATTATTTTACTGGCACAGAATAATGATTACAAGGATTCAGAGAAAGCAGTGAAAGAAAAGTTTAACACAGTTTTATGTCAACACTTGGGGGGAAGGAACCCTGTGGCAACAGGAACAGTTAAATGTTTAAAATTATTTCACATCTAGGATCCCAATATGAATGGAAAGCATACTTCTACAAAAGTAACTTGTAGTTCCAGCTACATTAAGCAATAAAAACAAATTAATATTGCCAACACTGATAATCAGTGTTGGAACCTGGTGACATACAAAAATATAGATCATTTGAATTATAAGGTCCATAAATAAGTGGTGTGCTAGTGAAAAGCCATTACATGTGTTTATAGCCCGTTAATTAAAAATAGATTTCCTCTGTCAAAGTATATACATGGATCCATATCCCCCCTTACTCCCGCTTGTCCCTTTCCCTCTAAAATGCCAACAGAGAAGCTCAGATATGCTGCAGCTGCTGGATCTTTAAATATGATGGGAGCTTTCACATGGTTAATCTACACATGTGAAGTCATATAGTTGAGAAATGCAGGCACTTCACACTGCAATCCATGTACTATAGGCTAACTGGCTCAAAACACATGCTTCCCAATCAAGCTTCTTAATATCTTAAGTAGTTTTCAGAGGTGGTATATGTCAGTGGACTTATTATATTCAAAAATAAAATCTATTTTTCAGACAAAAACATTTCACTTCTCAGGACTGCATATAGCCTTTTACTTTCTGAAATGCTCAGTATAAAGCAATTTTTTTTCCACTGATGACTGCTGGCAGGAGCTCTGTTGTAGCATTTGGGCCCCAAGAGTAAAAAAATAAAAATTTAAAGGACCTTGTATTTTAGTATTCTTTTCAAATCTGGTTTTCACGTATTCTTGAGCTCAAAAGGTTTTTGTTGCTTTAGAGTCTAATAACCCACGAAACTCATTACAGTATAATCAAAACTTTTACTCATTATTTCCTTCTTTTAAAATTTACAAACCTGCTGATGGTTTAACACTTATTATTTCCACTCCATCTGGTAAATTCAATTCTTGACTATAAACCATTTCTGAAGAGAGTGTCAGACGACTAGTACTTTGAAGGTTTGCTCTACAAGCCCGATATTTATGTGTGAAGGGAGACTGGATCTTCTCTCGATCCGGAGAGGACGAATATAACTCTTCTTGATGTGATACTCCTTCAGATATATTTGAGTCTATTTTTTCATCTAAAAAAATTTTGCATTGTTAAGTGAAATTTATCATAACATATGACAATTGTTTTATGAAAAACACAGCTGTCACTGAACTAACAGAAGGAGATACAATTTTAGATTTAGTTTTGTGAAATAGTATGGGCTGGCTGTAGGTGATAATCTTCAATTAGAAGTTGATTCAGTTTCAATGTAATGGCACGTAACAAATTTTTTTTTTTTTTTTAAACTTCAACAGGAAAGATATTGGGACATAAAGGGTATTAACTGTACAAGTCAATTGGACTGAAAATCTCAAGGACTTAAATGTGAAGTAGGCTTGGAATTCCTTTAAGTCAACCATAAGAAAATTGCATCCCAACCAAACAAGGAGGGAAAAACTGTAGAAAGATGCAGCTGGATGAAAAATTTAAATATTATCAGGAGAAAGCAGATAACATCTAGGGAAAAGAAAAAGGAGGTTATTTGCACAGATAGATACCTCTTGGAAATTAGGAAGAATAGAAAGAGTGAGACTTGCTAGAAATCAAACTAAATAAGCTCTTGGCAATAAAAATTAAATAAGAGGAAAAGATGTTGGTAGTTATATAAATACAAAGAATAAGCAAGGATGAGATTAGACGGCTATGCAATATCAATTGAAAGGATATTAAAAATAATATAGGTATTTCCCTAAACTGAATGAATACTTTGTCTCACCTTACAAAAAATGATAATTTGTACATTCACAAAGGCAGAATAACTGATGTAAATGAGTGTTCAGAAACTGCTACATCAGAGGTGCAAGAAAAACTTAAGAGTTGAATGCACTCAAACTGTGAAGACTAGATCATTTCTACCATGGAATACTGAAACAACTGGCACATAAGACTTCTAAGTCCAGCATCAAGGATTTCCAATAAATCTGTTAATTTACAGGTATTGCCATACAACTGGATAATAGCAAATGTCTTACCTATATTTAAGAAAGGGAAAAAAGTATTCAGGAAACTACAGATCAATGAGCCTCATGTCAGTATTATGCAGGACTTTAGACCAAATTGTTAAAGAAAGACTAATTAAACTCAGAGAGATAAATGGTTCAGAGATGTAATGTAATACGGCTTTACCGAACATAGATCAAGCCAGATTAACCTGATTCCCTTCTTTGACAAAATAAATTATGTTTACAATTTTAGATAAAGGAAACATTAAATCTAATACACTTGGATGTCAGGAAAGCATCTGCCACAGTACCACATAGGACATTAGTTATATTAGAGAGGATGGCGAATAGTGTAAAATTTGTAAGGGGATAAGGAACTAGCTGAAGGGAAAGGGCAATGGACTGTTTTGAAAGTTGAACTATTAGATTGGCGCAAGGTTACTAGCATAGTTCCTCAAAAATGAGTCTGAGACAAAGTTATTTAATACTTTTATTAAGGACCATAGCATTAAAAGCAGATGTGTTAACAAAGTATAGGCATGATAAGAAGTTGGGAGTTATCTTTGATAGTAAGAATTTCTACTGCAATGTGGGGGCTTATCAGTCAGCTGCAAATCAGAGAACTTTCTACATTTGTATATTACAGGATAATTGGATATGTAATGTAATGGAGACATGAAAGCAAATGTGTGTCTATCCTGCACTAGGCAAGGCATTTCCAGTAGAGATGGACACATACTAATGCCACTGAAAAAGGCACTGTGTGAACTAGTCATTTGGAATTCAGAATAAAGTTCTGGTCACTCATGTTCAAAAAAGATATGTTTGAACTGAAAGAGAAGCAGAGAAGAGCTACAGATGACCAGCGGGAAATGGAGGGCCCATCTTATGTGGGGAGACTAGAAGAGCTTGTCTGCTTTAGCCTATCAAGGATAATATGACTGTTCTCTATACATATCCCTGGGGGAGGAGAAAGGATGGACAGCTATGTATTGTCCTGCTATTCTGAAAGGAGAACAGAACACACTTGAGATCGTTAACATTAGGGATGTTAAATTCAGATGGGGTTTCCATCAACTATTTGATTAGTCGATAAGGGCGCCTCCGGCTTTGAACTGTAGCAAGAGCCCTGCCAGGGACTCTTGTAATTTCAAAAGGAAGCCCCACACGGAGTGCGAGACCAGTGGGGGACTTCCCTGCTGGCCCTGTGTGGCTCTTGAACATTTTAAAGGCTGAGGCAGCGCGGGGCCAGCGGGGAAATCCCCCGCTGGTCCCGCACTCCCTGTGAGGCTTCCTTTTGAAATTACAAGAGTCCCTGGCAGGACTCTTGCTACAGTTCAAAGGCAGAGGCGCCCTTATCGACTAATCAAATAGTCGATGGAAACCCCATCTACTATTTGATTGATCTAAATTTAACATCCCTAAATGTAACCATCTCAAGTGTGTCCTGTTCTCCTTTCAGAATAGCAGGACAATACATAGCTTTTCATCTTTCCCCTCGTTGGGGCTCTTGTACATTTCAAAAGGAGAATCACGGCAGAACTAGCACAAGCAGAGGTTGCTTCAGTCCCTGATCACGCCGTTTCCTGCTGTGCCTCTATCTCCCCTGTCTCCCATGGAGACAGTGCTGGGGAGAACTGGCTGTTAAGCCCTGGCTCCTACTCACCCCTGCCCCTCTTGTTGCCTTTCTCTAGGACTAGATTTACCTGGAAAAGCAGGAAGGAGGCACCAGGCAAGGTATGAGGTTGGAAAACAATGGAGAATTAGAAATGACACACTTACCGACCTTGCTGGACGGCAGTGCATTCAGCTACCCATTTACGAGCCAGGGCTGTTGTGGTTTCAAGATAGGTTTCCCTCCCCTCTACACACAGGCTGTGCCAGTATAAAACTACATTGTCAGAACACAGCTTGAAGAAATTTTGCCTCTGCCTCATCACCAACTTTGTTATTGCCCAGCTTTGACTGTGTGGACAGGAACACTCACAGTTATTCTCACTTTAATAACAGCAGTCACCAAGTGTAGATAACCTGGTTTTAAGGCTTTGCTAATTCTTAAGTGTTAGCAGACACTCAGCAGTGCATTCCAACTCACTTAAAACTGACTTTTAAACCCTCAGAATTAGTGCAATCTACCATTCATTATTTAGAACTAAATACATAAAAATCTGAAGAAATTTTGGCCTACCATTTCTAAACTGAGGAGCAAAAGTAAACTGAATCCCCACTACTGACAACTTTAATGGATTTTTTCTCAACTACTAAAAAAACAAACAACAACACAGGTTTGGCTAATAATAAAAAGCTCCAGAGCAAAGAAAATGACAGACTTTAGAGCAAAAAAAATAATTAAGTTGTGATGGAAAACCGAGAGCAGATGATTGCTGATAGCTTTTTAGACAATAGCTTCTTAAATTTAACAGTAAATAAAAGTTGTTTAAAAAGGAAGAATATCAGATAGTTACAAATAATTCTTGTTTAAAAATGTTTTACATCATAGCAAAAGTACTTACCCACTGAAACTGGAATGGATTTCAAGTGTAAATTCCACATGTGTAATAATGAGCAATTTTGAGCATATTCAATTACTATTAAGTAAAATTTCTCAGAGAATCCATTTTGCAGCTGTCCTGTTGAAATTTAAAGTAAGTTTTTAGTGTAACATCTAATATAGCAATCGGTAGCTACTAACTTTTTTCACTCCCTGACTACATAACTGTAGGCACTACTACCCTTTTAATTTAAAGAGTATGTAGACTCCAGATAGTCAGCATCTTAGAAGGTATTTCTTTAATTTGCTTGGGGTTTTGGCTTTTTATGGTTCCCCCTCTGATCCTGTTATTCAAATGTTAGATGAAAATAGGGATGTAAAATACCGTTTCATTAGTTAACTGCTTAAACATTAAGTTTAACTGATTAAAAAGGGGGCAATGGGAGGTCGTTTCAGGCTCCAGCACTGCAGGACAGGGGCAGCTGTCAGTAGTCTTACGGAGGGAGGGGGTGGAAGCAGCCGTGGAGGAGTACCGGAGGAGAGGGGGAGAGAGCAGCTGGTCGGAAGACTGTTCCTGAGTAACTGTTAACCATTACTTGGTAAGCCTCATCCATTAAAGGTGATGCTTACCAGGTAACCGGTTACCTTCACATCACTAAATGAAAATACTAACCCTGAAACAATACAAATTGAAATGAAGACCACCACCAATTGTATTTAAAATATTAAATCTAAGCAACAGCTTTTTATACTGTAGAATAAAAAGTGCTAATGAGCAGCGCTATATTTTCATTTTTTAGGCTGAAAACACAGAACTGTACAATTGAACGATCAGCTTTTAATCAAATATTATAGGTAAGAAGTGCTAAATGTAGAAACAATCACTGATTTCTGAGGCACTACGTAAGAACGGCAGATTAAATTTTATATAAATTATTTACAACTACAGTAAAACTCCAATTGTCCGGCATCCAGTGGTCCGGCACTCGCGATGGTCCGGCACCAACTGGAACCCGGAAGTGCTCTGGCCAGCTGGACACTTGGAGCTGCTCCATGCCACTTCCTCAAGTCCGCCACTGCCGCTGCTGAAACTGACCAGCAGCGGACATGGGGAATCTGCAGAGCAGAGCAACTAGGGTGCTGCCGGTTGCCCAACAGGGGGATGAGGGGCGGCGCTGTGGGACCAGCCTGGCAGGTCCCCAGCTGCTCTGCTGCGCACTGCTTCTCTAAGTCTGCTGCTGCCGAAACTGACGAGTGGTCGACTTGTGGAAGCTACAGAGCAGAGCAGCTGGGGTGCTGCCGGGTTGCTCCCACAGCGCCACCCCTCACCCTCCTGCTCAGGGATAACTACTGAAGTTTGGGGGGGTGGGGAGCCCGCTCCCCTCCTGGAAACCCTCGGCAGTGGCGCGGGGCTTCCCTTGCCTTCCTGCAAAACGGTGGAGGGTTCGCCCCTTGCCACGCCTTTCCCGCCCAGTCCTCAGACGCAGTGCGGGTCCTGCAGGCTCCTCACAGCCCCCCCCCCCCCCCCGCCCCTCTGGAATACCGCCCGATAATCCGGCATATCTGATAATCCGGCACCACCTAGGTCCCAAAGGTGCCGGATTATCGAAAGTCTACTGTAGTTTTCAATTTACTTATAGAATCATAGAATCACAGATTCTATAAGTAAATTGAAAACTAGATGTAAATAATTTGTAAAATTTAATCTGTCTTTCTTCTGCCATGCTATCTTAAAAGATAACAATCAATAAGTGACTAGAGAAACAGAATCTTTATTTCTAAGATGATATTATGCTCTTAGTAGAGCCAGCAATCTGTAGATGAACCATAAGTTACACCTTAGCCATTTTGACCTTGTAGCTCTGTGGGAATGAAGTGGAGCATTATTTAAGTACTTAATATAATTAGCAGAGTTTCCCTTTTAAGCTTGTAACAAAAAAATATCAGACTTTTTATAATCATGTGTCCAAAATCAATATCCTTTTGATACATCCTTCACTAGGTTAGCAAACTAAACATTTAATACTGCTTTACCAGAGTCTTCTAAACAGTTCTTTTCAGGTGTTTTCGCCTCATGGTTATTCAAAATGAAGTTTTCCTGAAAAACGTGAAGTAACTGTGTTTTTCTGCCATGCTAAATTAGAAACACAAACAATAAGTAAGTGAATAGAGAAACAATCTTTATTTCTAAGCTCATATAATTAAAAATTGTCAAGACTACACTAAACAATTTGAATAAAATGTATTGTCTATATATATGGGCCAAAGTCAGGTAGTTGGCAGTAAGATGCTCTTAATCCAAAACTTGTACATATTAACCGGCATTGGTTTAATCATAGATGGACATAGATAGTTTTACACATGGAATTTTAAATGCCTTTTTAAAAATCAAGTAAATGAATGTTCTCTCTCATATAAAATATGTACAGAAAAAATATCTTACTTACGAGCTCTGTAATAGCATCTAACTCTACAATGCATCCTGGCCTTGCAGTTGACTGTTGACTTATGATGTTAAAAACTTCACCAACGTATTTCTGTAAAAATACAGTAATACAAGCAATACTGAAGGATTTTTCTTTAGATGAATTCTTAAAGTTTATTAAGAATTGCCTGATATCGGACATCTTCATTTTGGCACAGTATTTTTATTTGTGGTTCACTTATTCAAAGTTAGGATTGACAGAAGTTGGGTTTAATAAAGCGAGATTTGTTAAAACCAGAGATTTATTTACATTCTATATAAGCCTGAAAAGACTCTGAACTTTTCAGAAATCTTCTTTCAGTGCTAAGCAATTTGTTTGTTAATTCTGTAGCAACAATTAAGGATACATCTAATTTACAATGTTACGGGAATTTAGGAAAACAATTTTGTGACGACTCAATAGAAATAAGGGTGTTAACTCTGAAGTACCACAGAATCATTAAAGGCCTCACATGAAAGATGCCTCCTTCCAGTAGGTTGACAGCAGTTGAATCCCAAGACTGAGGAAAGTGCAATGTACTGAACCATCAGAACTACTTATTACAGCATTAGATATTTCTTTTAGATTTCCCAACCTTGCAGTTACTTGACTGAACAATGCTCAGCTGATATCACAAGAGACTATGCTTTAAGGTTCTATTATATTTGCAGATCGACTTTGTAAGAGATACATTTTGCAGATTTCATAGTGTTCATTCAGTTATCTAGTCTGAAAAACCAATGTTAGGAGTTATAATTATGAAGTAATCTGGGAAAAATTAGCTTTTACTTACAGAAATTTCAGGATTAGACAGCTCACATAAAAGCTTTTTAGCATCTATTATAGCCTGATATAATCTCAGATATTGTCCATCACTTGCCACAAAGCATGCGCTGGGAGAATTGCAGTATGCACCTGAAAAGTATTTATAAATAATTGGTTCAATATTTTAAAAAAT